GATGTGGCTCTCACTTAAGTGAGGGCACAATGGTAATCCTTGTATATCTTAGAAGAGTATAAATAAAAGAAGGGCCGACTAGAGGTTTTGAGATTTTCTCTCTAGTTCGGATGTGACTTTTCTCCTTCTCCTTCTCTCTCTCTTTTCCTTCTCTTTCTTCTGATCTGAACATATATGAACATCTAATCTGAGTTTTATCACTTATAAATAGCTACCTAACAAGAGAAAACATTTTCAAAAAACCGATAAGGAGAGAGAAATAAAAACATCCTTAACTTTCTTTTGATCCTTATATTTATATATCTTTTTTCTTGTTTCGATCTATAATGAAGAGTTTCTGTTAACATAAATATTAAGTTCATTGAATCCTTTAAATGACAAATGATCTAAAAGAGAGAAAAATATGCAATAAATACCAAAGGTTACAATACAAATGTTCCAAACTTCCACTACATCATCCTTTTCTCTTTTAAAATCAGTGTTTGTGTCCTTGACTATAATCATGTTTCAATCAATGATATTAAAGTATGTTTCTTGAGATATCCTTGAAACTGAATTTGATTGTTTATGGGGTGCCCTTCTACTTTGACTTTTATCCACCGAAACTTGAATTTGATTGTTTATGGAATTACCACAATTGGTTGTGGTGGAAGCCCTTAATTTACATTGAAAATGAAAAGAAAGAAACTTCATACATCCTCAATAACCTGAAGTCAAGAAGAAAATGCTGTCTTCTTTGCTCGTTTTCATATTAAACCAACTTAAACTCCCATTTATTCAATCGGTACAGTTTAAGGATCTTATCTAGCATAACATGCCAACTAAAAGCCTCCTCCTAAGATGGATAAAGAATCTTCTTTGCTCTTCACTAGTCGTGTCCAGAAGAAATTCCTCCAAATTCTAGGAATCATGAACCATAAATTGGAAATCCTTCCTAAATTGCATATTTTGCTCAATATGCAATTGAGGGTGGCCTAACCATGAACATGCCACTGGGTTCTTGCCTCCGAAATCAGACTTTGCCTTTTTTATGAGTTTCCATGTCCTGTCTTTTATCCTTTTCTTTTTTCTTTCTTTTGGGATATTGGACCACATACTTTGTATGCATCTTTTCCTTTCAATGCATTTGATATTTACTGAATGAAAAAATTAAAACCTAGGTAATCAAATCTCAACCATTTACCTAATGTTCCTTAAGTAAAAAAGAAAAAATTGTTAAATAACCAAAATATCCTTAGTGTTGTCATTTTTTGGCAATAAATACATACGTAAATCCTTTAAGAAACTAGAATAGAGATATTCTCTTTGAAGTGGCATTAATATCTAGCCTTGAGTGACTCATGGAATGTATCAAACATGGGCAAATCAATATTTTTTTGGGGGGAGGGGGGTGAGAATTGGTGAAATTACAAGGAGTGCCACAAATAAAGGCAGGGATAAGGTAATAGGATGTCAACACTTCTTACTAAAGGTTAATTTACTTTTGGTTTGCTTGTTCCATGCTTTTGGTATGTTGGACATACTTTTCTCTTTTCTCTATGTCAATACCAAAAGTGTCCACTGAAATGTGTTCTGAAGGGGAATGATAAAAAAGAAGTCTAGCATGCTTGTATCCTCCCCCCTCCCCCATCCAATGAGTGGATTGGTCAAGGCTTGACATCAAGTGAGTATTTTTGTGGTATATCAAACAAATTATGCAATTACATGTCTATTTCTAGTTTTATTGTCATTGTAATTCCAAGCATTATGTATTGTCATTGTTTCTTGTGCTGACAATCATGATTAGGTAAGTTGGGAGTAGTGGTAGTGAGTAGCGATTTATGAAATTGATTTATCATTTTTACTAGTGAGTAGTGATCAAAGTTGCTAATTTTTCATCATATAATTTCAGGGCTATAAAGAACTGACTGGAACATCTTGGACCCTTGTATACTTTATCAGTTTTTACCTCATAACAGTCTTGCTGATTCTTAATCTGGTAAAATTCATCAATGCTCTCCTCTAAGTTTTCTATTCTTACTACAGTATATTATATCTGATGCATGAAAAACTTAGACATGAAAATGGTTGCTGCTTCATCTTGGTTGTCTTTCAATAGGTGTTACTTGGTCATCTGAAAAACCTAATACATTTGAGCACTAAAGGCTCAGATGCAAGCTTTTTATTCAATAGATTAATCATTGAACTTAAGCACCATTTATGCATTGGCACCTTGCTCTCATGGTACTCTTATTAAGAAGCAAGCCTTCAACAAATGTTATAATTCCTATATTCTTAATGGCTGAGAGTTCAGGGAGCAAAAGTTTTAAATAGGTTGTGTTTCGATCTAGAAATGACTATTAAGTAAAAAATATGTAACCTGTTGATGCATTCTATGCTAGAACAGAGAGTTTTAAGAACTATTTAACTTTCTATAGGTATGTAAAAGTAAAGGAAATAGTTATTTGAATTCAGAATTTGAGTTCATGATGTGTGGCCTCTAAACTTCAGTTGGGAACTGTTAGTAGCACTTCCTATGTTTGATAACAGTAGAACTACCCCTTGTCACAGTCAGTTCAAAAGTCAGAAGAGAGAGAGAGAGAGAGAGAGAGAGAGTACAGCTGAATGGTGGGTGTGACACCTTGTGTCAGTCAACACCCTAAAAGATATATTTACATTAAGTTGTAAAAGGACAAATCTGCCCTTAATGTACAGGAGAGAGATGGTACAAAGAATAGATATACAACAAAGAAAAGTAAAAGTACAAAAATAGCCCTATGGCTATATTTCACTGTCTCTACACTCCCCCTCAAATTGATGCCTAGGAATAAGCATCAGTTTGTCCATGAGAAATAGATGTCGAGCCCGTGTCATTGCTTTAGTCAACAAGTCTGCTAGTTGGAGTCCGGAAGAGACATGAGGAAGAGATATGGTACCCTCAAGAAGGAGATCACGAATGAAGTGGCAATCAACTTCTCTGTGTTTGGTGCGCTCATGGAAAACAGGGTTGGGTGCAATTTTTATTGCACTAATATTGTCTACATAGAGAGGGACAGACAATGATGGCTCATTTAGTATTTCAAATAGAAGAGTCCGAAGCCATATGATCTCACTACACATGGAAGACATAGCCTTGTATTCAGCTTCAGTGGAAGATTTGGACACAGTAGCTTGTTTCTTGCACTTACATGAGATAAGAGAGTTGCCTAGGAAAACACACCAGCCAGTAGTGGACCGTTGGGTGTCGGGGCTTCCAGCCCAATAAGCATCCGCATAAGCCATTAGATGAATTGATGATGAGGAGAAGAATATCCCATGTGATAGTGTGCCTCACACATATCTTATAATCCGATGCACTACAAATAAATGTGCTTGTCTTGGAGAAGACACAAATTGGTTTACTATCTGAACTGCATAAGATATGTTTGGCCGAGTCATGATGAGATAGATTAAACTGCCTACTAGATGACGACAAAGGGTAGGATCTTCAAGGGGAGAACCATCATCTTTGTTGAGTTTCAGGTTCAGTTCTAGTGGAGTGTCCACAATCTTAGAGTCACTAAGATTTGTCAGTTTAACAAGATCAGCCACATACTTTTGTTGATTAACAAAGTAGCCTCGAGAATTTCTGCTCACTTCAACTCCTAAGAAATATGTCAAAGGCCCCAAGTCCTTCATCTTGAAGGACTCATTGAGTAACTTTTGTAGCCTAGAAATTCCTTCTGTGTCATCCCCTGCAATGAGTATATCATCAACATAAAGGAGTAACATCGTTACTCCCTGCTCCCTCCTTAAGATGAATAAGGAATAGTCAGAAGGACTCTAGATAAAGCCAGCATCAGTGATGACAGATCTGAACTTCTCAAACCAGACCCAAGGAGTTTGCTTCAGGCCATAAAGTGATTTCTCCAGACGACAAACAAGGTCCCTCATGCATCACATGCATGTTCCCAAACCCTTTTGGAGTGATGCAGTGCTCACCTCGTGCTTTTTGATTATTTGGATGTCCACGTTCATCCTTGATGGTCATTCTCTGTTTTAGGTCTTGTTTCTCGCTTTGTTTCCGTTTCCTCTTACGCCGAGGGTATTTGGGTGTGTCTGCTTTGTCCATAATCTGGGTCCCGGGAATGACAAGTTCGATGCCCGTTCTCTTAAGTGCATCTTCCTTGGCTATTCTTGAACCAGAAAGGGTATAGGTGTTACCATCCTAGTTATCGATGGTCCTTTGTGTGTGCTGATGTCAACTTCTTTGAGTCTACTCCATTCTTTTTGGGGTCTGGTGATGCTTTTTCCTCATCACTTCCTCCTCTTCCACTTCTCGTTGTTGACCCTCTTCCCTTGGTTCCAGCCATGACCAAACCCTTGCCTCCGGTGCCACCACCTATTGAACGCCCACCTATCTGTCATGTGTATACACATCGCCCACGTGCACCAGCTACTACTCCTCCGGCTACATCTCCGTCGACGGATCCGGCACTAGACCCGCACTCAGCATCTGAGCTTGACCTCCCCATTGCTTTGCGGAAAGGTAAACGCACTTGCACCCTTCATCCTATTTCTAATTATGTTTCACTTACTCACCTTTCCACTTCCCATCACCAGTTTGTCACCTTGTTATCATCAGTTGTT